CAGCCCATACTGTTAATAAATATATTATTTCCTCCTAAGAGTTGAATAAGGTATAGAGTGAAGTAGTTTTATAATACACGATACATAGATAGATAGATGATTGATGGATAGATAGATAGCCTTATAATCCTTTAAATTTACTTAGATATTTCTATCATACATGAGCTTGACTGAGTTGCCATGACCTCCTAGAAAATACTAGGTCCATGCTATCCATTTTATCATATACTTCAGAAACTATTGAACATTGGCTTTCTCCTTACCAAAGATTTTATGTTCTGAGTATTATCTACCTGGCCAAAATTAATACTGCAAATGGAAACGTTAATAACTCTTTTAATTTCATTTATATTTATTACCTAGTATTACCTAATGTAAATTCTGCATTCCAAATATTCATTCTAGAAAAGCTCCTTTTGTTGTATCGAGGACTGAACTTTATTGAAACAGAAATAAAAGAACTTACTCACTCTACATTAGTGGATAGATAATAATTATAACCAATTTTAGAAGTCAACTAAAAACTACTAAAAATTAGCAGTAAATAAGAGTTTTAGCTGCCTCCTGCCATGACCCAAGCTTATTTAAAGATCAAGCATATGGGGAAATATTTTCCTATCAGTTTTGTTTCTTAAAACCCTGTTTCAAAAATCTGATGCCTTTGCTAAAACTAACATTAGTCCTCCTAAAACCTTACAGCCATCTTCTAAAACCACGGTTCTCAAAGTGTGGTCTTGGGATTCTCAGGACCCTGTCTAGGGGTCTAGGAAGTTAAAACTACTTTCAAAATAATAGTAAAACATCATTTGTATTTTTTACTCACCCTTCCTTAAATGTACATTAAGTTTCATAGAGACTACATAATGTATGAGATCATAACAGAGTGCAGAAGGTAATGTGAGAATTCAGTTGTCTTTTATCAGCCAGATATTAAAGAAAATTTCAAAAATGTTTTTAAAAAGCCCTCATACTCACTAATTGTTTTATTATCACCATAGTTATTTTTAATAAAAACATATTATTTATGTTAACAGGTATGGGCTTATTGCTGTTTTTAGATTAATAAACATATACATGTATATTCAATTTTCCCAGCTTCAATTACCATAATAAAGATACATATCATATACATAAACACAAGCTCTTTTAAGAGTATAAAGGGGTTGGCCGGGCGCCGTGACTCACGCCTGTAATCCCAGCACTTTGGGAGGCCGAGGCGGGCGGATCACAAGGTCAGAAAATTGAGACCATCCTGGCTAATACAGTGAAATCCCATCTCTACTAAAAATACAAAAAAATTAGCTGGGCGTGGTGGCGGGCGCCTGTAGTCCCAGCTACTCGGGAGGCTGAGGCAGGAGAATGGTGTGAACCCGGGAGGCGGAGCTTGCAGTGAGCCAAGATTGCACCACTGCACTCCAGCCTGGGTGACAGAGCGAGACTCCGTCTCAAAAGAAAAGAAAAAAAGGAGTATAAAGGGGTCCTGAGAACGAAATGTTTGAGAACTACTGATGTAAAATATCCATAACCTGTTTTCTCTAGCTCCTTCTAGTCTTTGTGCTTAGCTTATTAACCATTATCATCCTTGGTATGTTGTTCCACTTCAGGTTTTCTGTTACTTGACAAAGTCTAAGATATTGCAGTGTCTTCTGATTCTTACTTGTGAACAGACAAATTAGTCTCAGTCAACAATTCCACCCTAGGAAATGATATATCAGATGGTGCTATTACACAACAGACTTCACAGAATCTGTTCTGAAAAAATGTCATCATGAAAGTCTAGGAGCTTTATTGTTAAAGAAAGAACTTCTTGGTATATGAGAATTTTCATGTTGTTACTGTGTAAGATGATGAGTTTTCTTAAAATTATTTAGACACTTGGCAAATCAGACTCAATACTGGGCCTTCTGCAATTCCAATAAAAAATAAAGACTGGCCGGCCCATCTAAGTGCCCAACTTGGAGTCTGGCCTGAATGAGTCAAACAGAAAGAAGTATTCCTTCACCTCTCAACAGCTGTTAACATTCTTTCCTTACTACTCCTTTCTGAAACATTCTCTTGCTTTATAATTGACCCACCACACCCTACTAAGTCAACTGTAATCTCTAATTACAACCTGTCCACTCTTTGAACAAAGGTCTTCCACTCATTTCTCCTCAGTCCTTTTCACTACTTTTCCCACGCTGGTGTACATATATCAGCTACGTACAAATGACTCCCAAACCACCAGTCAAGCTTTGACTTAGCTTATCCATGCAAGACCACAACTGTTGAATCACCCCAGATAAGTATATTGCTAGCTCCTCTCCTAACATACACAACCAAAATCATTACTTTCACCACAAACAGCAAAATTTAAACTGTTTCTCTTACTCTATTCACTGGTTCTCAACTGTGTGTGATTTTGCCCCCAGGGGACATTTGGCAATTTCTAGACACTTTTTTGTTTTGTTTTGTTTTCACAACCAGGAAATGGGGTTTCTACTGGCATCCAATGGATGGAGGCCACTGATGCTGCGAATAACCTACAATGTACAGGACAGACTCCCACAACGAAGAATTATCTGACTCACAATGTTAACAGTGCTGAAGTTACAACACATTTCTCTATTCCCATCTCTTCCTCATCTCCCCTCCAGCCAGGAAAATGATTCGCATCTCTGGCATAGATGTTGACACCAGGATCCCATATAAGCTGGATTTGAAAGTAAAGTGGCTGGAGGTTTTGGATCAACAGAAACCTGAATACAGTAGAACAACCTCCAAGAAGAAGGTGGGCTTGGGAATCAAATGGGCAATGATTGAAACCAATGTTAAATTTGGAAGTTTCAACAGAAATATCAAAATATTAAAAATTCTGCATTGGAAACAGGGTGTTAAACCATATAAAAATTTTAATGAATTTGGTTAATGACTGATCCCATGATTCTCTCAAATGTCTCAGCCTTTTTGAAGTTTAAAAATCGTCATGAGAGCAAAAGTAGAAACTATCTTTGCATGGAAAAAAAATGTCTTTGTGGATTACTGCTTCCATCCTCAAGCCCTACCTCTTGAAGAACAAAAGATAGTTGACAGCTGTTTGTGCCTCATCGCAAACTGGTGAGAGGGAGTTTATAGGGATTGCCTAGAGTTTGATGAGTCTTATGTATTATGGAGACATAGCAGCCTATTGCTTGACTCATACACAGAAAATCTAGGGATTGGGATGGTCTGGCCAGCAGCTTTAGGAGCATGTTGCCGCTGATATATTATCTACTAATCTGTGGATTTATTGTCTGAGTCAAGAATGTGTTTATGCTTCCCATGGACCAGATGAGGGTCAGCCAGCATGTGAGTTGTATTAGAGCCTCCCCTATACGGACTGCCTGTGCTGAGGCCTCAGCAGACAAGAGTTCAGGTGAACCAAATAATTGCTCAGAGCTACAGAGGAAGTAAGTGACCAGAGGAAATAGGGAAAATTTTATCTGTATCAAGGGAACTCAAGGGAACTATAGATGAGATGATACACAAGGGTTTCCAATGACTCCACCAAAGTGCCCACTAAAGAATTAGCTTTTATCATCAGTCAGGCTCCAAGGGAGTAAAGTCATGTTAAAATGAGAACAAAGATAACTTTTCCATCTGCCTTCTCTCTCCTCTCTTCCCATTAGTCTAACAAATTGAAGGAAGAGAAGAAATGCTAGGAGTTGAGCTTCTAGCACCCATTGCAGAGCAGACCCCAGCTTGGGAAGGGGGGGGTGGGAGAATGGTTTTATACTTTAAATGATGTTCTAAGTTTTGTATTTGACTACACATTCTTACCTAATTGAGACAAGTCATTTAAAGTGGTTATAACTCTTTCTCTTACTTGAGCATGAATGGAAGAGTTATGGAGCTTGCTCAAGTCTGCATCCAGTGGTAGGGAAAGTACTACTCCTACTGATCAGTATTAAAAGATCACTGGGACACGGTTCTTTCATAAGGCTGCTTCTATGATTATAGACTCTATATATACATCAATGCCCAAAGCATGGGCAGTGAGGCAAAATCTGTATGCCCAACAATATGAATGAATTTAGGAAGGAAAAACTAAAGAAGAGACCAGGGACATTGCCTGAATTTGGTGGAGTCATTGCATGACCCCTTAGTGGGAGGGGAGTAAATGCTGAGAAAATGTGAGTATCACCCAAGTAAAAAACTCCTGCCTCTCCTTTGCTATCCATATGTAGGCAGTTGTCAAGTCCAGTTGAGTTCACTTCCACAATATTCTGTATCAGTCCCTCTCCATTCTCTCTGCCCTCCTGTTTTCTTTCTCACATTCTTATTTCTGGATCTCCTAGCTTGAATTTGTTCCACAAGATCTAACTGTCACTCCATCAGTCTATCAATCACTCTTCACTCAGTTTCAAGAGCTATATATATTCTTAAAGTAAAAGTTTGCACATATCATTCCCTAGCTGGGCAACCTTTTAGGGCATCTATTTTAAGGGATAAAATCTAAACACTTCAGCATGGCATTCAGGGCTCTTCATGGTCTAGTCACTCACACACACACACACACACACACACACACACACAAACACACACTCAGACAAAATGTTTCTGTCATGCTAGACTGCTTGACATTGCCCAAATAGGCCATATATTTTCTTATCACTATGATTTTTCTCATATTTTGACTCTAATCTGAAATATTTTTTCCTCTGCCCCACCTTGCATATACCTCCCCTTCTCCTGCTTTTGAAACCCTACTCATTGTTCTAGGCCCAGCTTATATTAGAGTTCTGTGAAACATTATCTGGTCCCCAAGTCCGAATATTATTCCTTCTCTTTCCTCAGGTATTTCTTTTATTGCACTTATTTCCACCACTTATTCTACTCTGACTTATAATATAGATCATTTTTGTTTGTATATCTCCTCCACTAGTTAGTAAATCTTTTGATGCCTTACCTATAATAGACAGTCAATAGATGTTTGTTGAACTAAATTAAATGCTACTAACCAGCCTTGAGAGGTGGGAGAAAGAGGCCTTGGAAGCTGGCACAGGGATGTCGAAGAGTTTGAAGGCACTGCTGGGCCTCTCAGTGGTGATGCTGACAGCAGCCACGGTGGCCAGCATGCATCTGGAGCAATGGCAGGACCAGCAGAGGCTTCATGATGGAGTTATCAGAGACACTGAGAGACAAAATTTAAAAAAAGTAAACATTCGTCTTTTGGGAGAACAGATTATTTTAACTGAGCAACTTGAAGCAGAAAGACAGAAGATGTTATTGGCAAAGGATTTCAAAAAACTTAACTTGAAATGAATGTGAAATATCAATGGGAGAGATGACATTGTGTGTGTGTGTGTGTCTGTGCCTGTTGATGGAGAATAGCTTAGTGGTATCTTAATCTTTTTTGAGTCACTATCTTTTTAAACTTGATCAAATAAAGGACAGTGGATCAGATATTGTAAATTACTGCTTTCAAAGTTCCTTATGTTTGAATAAAGAAGTATGGGTGTACAGTCTCCTGATGAGTTTCTGTTTGTGTGATCCTGGTAAAAGTCCTGTTAAGTTCACGGTCCAGAGCTTAGGATTGTGACTGAAAAGCGCTGCTAAACCTGTGAGAAGGAAGGAAGAGATAGTTACATCCACCTGAGTAGTTCGATCAGTCAACGCAGTGATGGAGCCACAATAATATCTACCTCAGAAGGGCTGGATGAAAGTGAAGTGGAGAGAGAGACTCCCCTGATTGTCAAATTAGAGGATCAGACATCAGTAGATTTATGTCATGACTAGAGCAGGGATTCCCTAACACCAACGAAGATGTGTTGTGGATGAAGAAGCAGCTGTCCTGCTTCTGTGACAAGTTCCAAAAATGGATACCAACAGACAGCTGAGGGGACAGTTCAGTTATGTTAAGGGTGATAATTTTTTTTAGATTTGCTTTTTCTGATTGCTCAGCATATGGCAAGGAACAGTATAAAAGGCTGAGGCTGACATGGCAGGAAAGTCATCATGTTGGCAATGTACAATTTGTCTCTGGAAGGATGTGGACATCAGGGTTATTTCAGGTAGAACAAAGATATCTGTACTTTTATTGGGAAACATTGGACTTTTTTACTAGGGAAAAATAAAAGTACTTCAAACCGGTGGAGCACAGTAGCAGGTTGCCTCAGTGTGAGATGTCTCATATACTTCTGTTCAGGTGCTCAGGAATTTGGATAACCAGGATGGTGGAAGCTTGTTCATAACAAACCCTCAACATTGAAACCTAAGGAAAAAAGTTGTCTGCCCCAAGTTTGAAGTAAAAGCAGCCTCAAAACCAACTTTAGATCCCATCATTACTGTTCAGGGACTTAGAGAACAGGCAAGTTAGAATCCTGTGGAATCTGCCATGGAATTAAAAGAGAAAAGGTCTTGAGCTCAGGAAGCAAAAGACATTAGAAGAGCCCAGAAGGAAGTGGCTGACTTTCTTGACAGAAGTATGTCTTCTATCCCTGTAAAATCCAAAGCCAAGGCCACAAGTCATATGTGATTCTTAAGAAAGAAGAGATTGACTTTTCATCTTTGAGCTCCCCTGACCATACCATGTTGACAAGCCCACCTACTTCTCCTCTGGATTTCTCTGCGCCCCGCCACCCTCACCCACCAGACAGCTGCCTCTCATTCGGTAATGCCTGGTTTTCTTTTAGAAGCAGATCTGATTCCGGATGTAATGCCCCCACAAGCTTTGTTCCATGATGATGATGAGATGGAAGGCAATGGAGCCATAGACCCAGGGATGGAGTATGTCTACAACATTGACACATTGCTTAGGTGAGCAGTTAAAAAAAAAAAAAAAAAAAAAGAGAGCAAGGATGTTCTTTTAAAGCAACTGAAACTTGGAGGTAATTTGTTAGTACAGTATCACTTACCCTATTTAACTGATACAGGTAGGCAAAATTTAATCAATAACACATTTAATTGATAAAAAACTGAATCTCAGGGAAACTAAGGGACATTTTCAACATGGCATTTATTAGTCAGTTACTAGAAGGGTAGTAGGATTCATCACCAGATTTTCTGACTGTCAGTGTAAGACATTTTTCATCAACTTTAAAGGGGAAAAAAACCTTTAAAATGTATGTATTTAAATTTTACATTGAACACAATTGTATACATATACATATGATGTATATACCTGCATATAATTGAAACAGCCTTTACAAAAATTATGGCAGTGAGAAAAATCTGACATAGAAAAACAATGACAGTGAAAAAAATGTGACCTAACTGGCTCCATCTTGCTTCTAGCCTTCAAGTTGCCCTTGTTCATTCCTTGGTGCAGGCCAAGGTAACTATAGGAGGAATTTATTTTATAGTTTAACCTTCAAGCAAAGGTGATAACAGCCCCTTCCCAAAACTATCCTCTTTTTGCTTGGTGACCAAAACCACATTTGTAAAACTAATAAATTAGCCACAGGATTAGAATTATGATCAGGAGTTACATAGCCAGAGGTTACAAGATTCATACCCTTTCCAATTTTTTCTATAGATAACATTACTGTAAAATCTACAATTGGTGTTCAAGGTGGTTTTTAGACTTTGCATTCTGATGGATGAGGTGGAACCATCCAGATAAGTAACTCATACCAACAAACTGGCTCAACTGATCATGTGGTCCCACCTAGGAACTGACTCAGTGCAAGAAGCAGCTTTGACCTCCTATAATTTCATCCTCAACCCAATCAATCAGCATTCCCCATTCCCTAGTGCCCACCAAATTATCCTTGAAAGATCCTAGCCTCTGAATTTTGGGAGAGACTAATTTAAGTAATAATAACTCTAGTCCTTCCGCTTGGCTGGCCCGGCAATTAATAAACTCTTTCTCTACTACAATACCATTGTCTCAGAGAATTGGCTTTTTATCTGTGCAGCAAGCAAGAAGAATCTGCTGGGTGATTAGACATATACACATATATAATTTTAGAATAGATACAAGATAAAATGGAAGTAATAGAAATGATAAATTTCAATATAATTACATTGAAATATTGTTTCATTTTGGTCTTCCTTAGTGAAAATTTTTACATTTATTTTTAAACCTAAATAATTTATAGTTTTACATAATAAAATGTCTAAAATTTTATAATTGTTTGTACATTATTACTTATCTTGAGCCCTTAAAATTATCTCTTCATAATGAATTAATGACATCTTCAGCAACCTGGATGACCCTGGAGTCTACTATTTTAAGCGAAGTAACTCAGGAATGGAAAACCAAACAATGTGTGTTCTCACTCATAAGTGGGAGCTAGGCTATGAGGATGCAAAGGCACAAGAATGAAACAATGGACTTGGGGGACTCAAAGGGAAAGGGTAGGAAGAATGTGAGGGATAAAAGGTCACAAACTGGGGGCAGTGTATACTGTTCAGGTGATGGTGCACCAAAATCTCACAAATCACCTCTAAAGAATTGACTCATGTAACCAAACACCACTTGTTCTCCAATAACCTATGGAAATAAATTTTTTAAAGTATCTCCTTGTTTAGAAAATATATATAGACTTTGTTTGTATATAGATTTTGTTCTTGACAGGAGTACATCTTCTATCACTGTAAAATTCATAAGCCAAGGCTGCAAGACAGATGTGATTCTGGCTTGCAGTCTTGGATGATGAATTTTACAGGCATAGAAAAGAAATGAACTTAGAAATGAGATGTTTGGAAATGAACTTGGAACTTGGAAAGGAAGTATTTGGAAAAGTACTTGATTTCTAGTTAAGCCATTTTCAGGTACTTTACAGTACTTAGATATCATATATTTGTGTTAAAGTTGTATGTATTTTAGAAGTATTACCAAAATAACAAGAGATGTGCTATATATTTAAAATTATTAAACTCAATGCTATGTGTACTATGAACTAAAATAGACTGTTTTGGGTTTTTTTCTATAACCTTAAAGTTTACATTTTTCTTGTTGAAATTTGAGATGGTTTTTCTCCCCCTTATTATGACAAATAATATATAAACAAGTGAATATTTTTCTTGAGCAATAAAAAGTATTTTCAAAAACATTAATTAAGTATTATTTGTATTGTGCTGTGTAGGCTACCATGAATGTCCTTCCCTTTTCTACCATCAATTTTCATTTTCAGGGAATGGAAAACATTCCCTCCAGCTTTAATCTTATTCTTCAAGGACAATGTACAAAGAGACGAGGAACAATGTAAATTGTTGAGAAGGCATTTAAATTCAAAAGTATTTCCATACCCCAAAGTTAAAACCCTGGGTAGTTTTCATAATTATTATGTTTCAATGCAGAATTTAACCACTATTGATCTAGAGTTAATTGCTAAAGTACTTTACCTCGATGATTTTGAGAGGAAAACAATCTTCAAAACAGTATTTATCGAATAAGCAATTTAAATGCCCTACTACAATTATTATCCCCATAAATACCAGTATCAGAATATTAGAAAACTTTAGGCCGGGCGCGGTGGCTCAAGCCTGTAATCCCAGCACTTTGGGAGGCCGAGACGGGCGGATCACGAGGTCAGGAGATCGAGACCATCCTGGCTAACACAGTGAAACCCCGTCTCTACTAAAAACACAAAAAACTAGCCGGGCGAGGTGGCGGGCGCCTGTAGTCCCCGCTACTCGGGAGGCTGAGGCAGGAGAATGGCGTAAACCCGGGAGGCGGAGCTTGCAGTGAGCTGAGACCCGGCCACTGCACTCCAGCCCGGGCGACAGAGCAAGACTCCGTCTCAAAAAAAAAAAAAAAAAAAGAAAGAAAACTTTAAATGGGATGGTATGCTGAATTAGTTGAGAATCTTCAATTGAAAGCAACAGAAAACAACCCTTACTAACTTATGAAAAGCTAATCCACTGGAAACTGAGTATTTCACAGCACCAAAAGAGAAGTTAAGGTCTTTGGAAAGACAGGAACAGGCAATTCTGAGGCTGTTAAAATCAGTAACAAAAGGACAGTCATTTCATTATCAATAAATTGATTCCAAATGTTTCTGTTCTTGTGACAAGGTCCAAATTCCCACAACCAGTAACAAAAGGACAGTCTTTTCATTATCAATAAATTCATTCCAAATGTTTCTGTTCTTGTGACAAGGTCCAAATTCCCACAGGAAAGCATGTGATTGTTTTAGCCTCTGTGACACAACAAACCCTGGCAAGAGGAGGAGATGTGGGTCCTTCACTGACTGTCCCTCCAAGGCCAAGCAGGATGAGGAAGGGATCCTTTCCCAGGGAACACTTTGGTGTGGCCTTAGCAAAATAAAAGAATAGATGCTGAGCACTCAAAAATCAGATGTCTGGCTGCTTCAGGGTCCAAATCTGTATGATAAACTCTGTTGGGGGGGGCATTGTTATGCTCCTA